AGGGGAAACTTTTACCTTTTACACCCAGCAGAACCCTCTAAAAAGTATGATTTAAGCACATTTTTGGCAGCCATGGGCCCTTTAGATCCCTCTTTTTGCTTCACTGTATTGTTTTTCTGTTTTTAACTGTACGGCATGTAGTGATTTTATGTCCCTCCTCTACCAATAATAAATAATGAAATCCAAATAATCTATACAGTGTGATCCTAAGCATTCTTATTCAGAATTGAATACTAATAGAATTTATTTCCCTGCCTGGGCACTTTTTATCGCAGTGCTGGGTTAATACACTTTACAGTTTATGTTGTAAATTAGCATTACACACTCTAAAACTGCAAAATATAGCCAGGCAGAAAAAATTATGGGAATAATTTAACCAATGCCTTAGCTTTAAAACTTTACTTTAAAGTCTTACTGACTTCATTGGAAGAATTCAGCTTACTCTGTTTTTTGAAAACATTCTTTAGATTTGAACATTTCAAAATACGACTTGATTAAGCTGCAAAACCTGGAACAGGAATGCAAGGTTTGAAAGGCATTTTATATTTCCATTAGCAAGAGCTACGCTGCCTATTCCAAAGCATCCATATTTTACTAGCCTGCTTTCCCAATAACTAATAGAGGGCAGTTTGCACAGAGCTGGGGCAACGCAAGGAAGTGAAATGCAGGCAGCTGCTCACATATTTATTAGTTTCAAGGTAAGGAGGTTAAAGCTGGAGCACCTGAGAGATTAAGCAACAGGTGCTAGCCTGATAGGGAGATTGGAGGAACAGGAGGGAAACCAGGCAGTCCTAGCAGTCCTGGCATTAAAGAGATATTATTTATGAATATGTGCACACATGCATGTGAACACACAGACATGCACATGCCTGCTAAAAACCAGTGCAAAAGTATTTGCAAGATAGAAATAGGTTAACAACACGCTGAGAAAGAAAATATCTCACTGACCAAACAATACCTACTAGGCCAGGCATGGGCAAACTTCGGCCCTCCAGGTGTTTTGGAATTCAACTCCCACAAATGGGAGTTGAGCAAAGAATTTGGCACAAACCAGTAAACGTGCACCCAGTGGTAATCAGCACACTGGGTGAAGTGCCTAAAGACCTTGGCTTGCACTTAAACACAATCGGTGCTGACAAAATTACCATCTGTCAGCTGCAAAAAGGCTACCCTACTGGGATCTGCACGCATTATTCACCGATACATCACACAGTCGTAGACACTTGGGAAGTATCCGACGTGTGATCCAATACAACAGCCAGCAGAGTGACTTTGTTTGCTGTGTACTAATCTAATAATAATAATGTTTCTAATAATAATAACAACAACTTTATTTTTGTACCCCACCTCCATCTCCCTGAAGGGACTCGGGGCAGCTTACATGGGGCCAAGCTCGAAAGTCAACATGGTTAAAATATAACAACAAAATTCATAAAAAACATTTCAAACAATATAAAACAATCACAGAATACAATATGTAGCGAACATCTAGCAACCTTCAATAGTCGGAATAGTGCACTGTACTAAGTTTGGGCGGGCAACTGGTGCAAATCACTTGCCAAAGGATAGGATTAATGGATAAAGTGCTAAAGAAAGATGAACAGGATTTGGACCTAGGGGGTAGTGTAAGGAGAGCGCTATATCTCTACAGGGGGCAAATGTAATGTGTAAGATCTGATTATGGATCAAATTTGGAGTTAGAATTATTTGGGGAACTATCTAGTTGAAGGCAATGTGGAACATCTACATTGCTTTAGTTCTTTCCAGAAGGTGGATAAGGTGGTTGCCAGTCTAATCTCCCTGAGGAGAGAGTTCCAGAGCCGAGGGGCCATCACCAAGAAGGCCCTCTCTCTCGTCCCTATCAGCTGTGTTTGGGGTAGAAGCGAGAGAAGGGCCTCCCCAGAAGATCTTAGAGATTGTGTAGGTCTGTAGGGAAAGATACAGCCACGAAGATAAGCTGGGCCTGAACTGTGTAGAGCTTTAGAGGTGATAACCTGCACCTTGAATTGAAACCGGAAACTTATCAGCAGCCAGTTTGAGCTGTTTGAACAGGGAGGTTGACCACTCCCTGTAGTTCGCTCCAGTTATCAACCTGGCTGCTAAAGGACTTCTGTTCTGAACTAAGAATGCAAGAGCCATGTTAGAGGACCTACAAAATGCCTAGAAAGGTCATTATCCGCTCTGAGTCCTTTTGGGGAGATAGAGCGGAATATAAAAACATCATCATCATCATCATCATCATCATCATCATCAGGAGCCCCCGGTGGCGCAGTGGGTTAAACCCTTGTGCCGGCAGGACTGAAGACTGACAGGTCGCAGGTTCGAATCCAGGGAGAGGCGGATGAGCTCCCTGTAACAGCTCCAGCTCCTCATGCGGGGACATGAGAGAAGCCTCCCACAAGGATGATAAAAAACATCAAAATCATCCAGGCGTCCCCTGGGCAACGTCCTTCCAGACGACCAATTCTCCCACACCAGGAGCGACTTGCAATCACTCCTGACACGACAAAAAAAAAATCATCATCATCATCAACATTATTATTATTATTTGTCAAATGCAAATGAGTGAAACCACAGGTTCTGGTCCCACAGGGCTCAGACTGTATTCATTTTTGGACTGGTACCACGAGTTCCAATAGTAACCGTGCTGGTTTTGGGGATTGTGGGAATTATATTACAAATATAATGTTTCAAAAGTCTGCTACTTACAAACATATTATCCAGGCTCACACCTACTCAACATTTTATTCTTATGTTAATTAAATTGCTGAGAAATAGAAACAAATTTAAGGAAGGAACACTGAGATAACACTTCTGCTAAAAAGGATATACAATAGCACTAAAAAAAAGACTGCTTCCTGCTGGACTGTTTTATTGCTAGGCTTCACGTGTGAATCCAAAGTGCAGGCAATCTTGCTTTCCAGTGGATAAACAGATTCTTGAGAACGTCCCAAGATTGTGTCAGCTGAAATACAATGGAGATCGTTTATCACAGTCCTGTCATTTCCTGAGCTCACATATTTATTCCTCTCTTGTCATTATTAGTTTTCAGAGTTCAGCATGCCTCTCTTTTCCCTGGGGAACCTTGGGACAACAAGCAAAATTTATTCTTCTCCGGCCTAATCCAAGAATTAGCTCCCTTCCACATTTTTCACTTAAGATCACAGTCCCAATGCTATGTGATGTTGAAGCATGGACTATTTTCATGCAAGGTAATTCAGAATTGAGTAACCAGGAGTTCAAAATGAAAGAGTTCTCAGATCTGAGAGGCATGTTGGAAGATGCTTACAAGCTGGAATGTGTTCAGAGGAGGGCGACTAAAATGATCAAGGGTCTGGAGAACAAGCGCTATGAGGAGCGACTTAAAGAGCTGGGCATGTTTAGCCTGCAGAAGAGAAGGCCGAGAGGAGACATGATGGCCATGTATAAATATGTGAGAGGAAGTCACAGGGAGGAGGGAGCAGGCTTGTTTTCTGCTGCCCTGGAGACTAGGATGCGGAGCAATGGCTTCAAATTACAGGAAAGGAGATTCCAACTGAACATGAGGAAGAACTTCCTAACTGTGAGAACTGTTCAGCAGTGGAACTCTCCACCCCAGAGTCCGGTGGAAGCTCTTTCATTGGAGGCTTTTAACCAGAGGCTGGATGGCCATCTGTTGGAGTTGTTTTGACAACATATTAATTTTGACGATATATTAATGGCAGTCTCTGGGGATGTAATGCGAGCATTTGCTTGTCCATTTTTGAATTCTTCTTTGGGAGGGACAATGATCTCATTTTGCCCCCCTGTACAGAAGACACAAAGAACAAGGAGATGGGACCAGGCCTGTAGCCAGGGTGGGGGGTTTAGGGGTTCACCCCCCCCCCGAAATTTTTCAGGTTAAAAAAAAACCTGGTTTACTCATGAATTTTAACTGGTTAACCAAATCCCCATGCTAAATCTATGAGATGCAAAAAATTAAGAGTCCCTCCAGAACTGCAAGCACTATCTCAGGCAAATATTGACAATTTATTCACACTGTTTGGGACCTGCCTACCTGCGTGAGCTGATGTAGCGAAGCAACCAAGTTGGTGGGGGGGGGGGTGTTGAATGCTCTCATTAAGGAGGCCAGACTTGGTGGAGGTGGTTGACAAGGGCGGAGCTGCAGGCTATTGAAGGCTGCTCTGCCCCCTGCTGTGCTCTTTGCTTCAGCGTGACCTAGGAGGCAGGTTTCAACCCCCCCCCCTGAAATTTTAACCCCCCCCCCCCGAAATGTTCAACCCTCCCCGATTTTTTTTTTCTGATTACGGCCCTGATTGGCATCATCAGATTGCTGGGTTTCAAGCTGTCAAAAGGCAACCAAGCTGTTTAGGAATCACTATTTCGCCAAAGAACTTCGAATAACGTCAACAAAATTTCATTTTTGGAGACTTATTTTAGCAAACATTGAGCAGCAGGCCATAAATATGAGCAAAGAAATAATGTACAAACATGATTACATGAAATCACTGCCGTCAAGCAGTTCCTTCTTCTATCACAACCCTCCCTAGCAGGATGCCTTCTAAAGGATTTGACCTACGGATCCAGTCATCCTTGATGGTTGGTCTTTTTGGCTGGAACAGATGAGGGATCCAAGCAGGGGAGGGCTGTACTCCATCTAGAAGATGTCATTTGAGAGACTGTACACATTTTTGAAGTAATAGTTCTAAACCAGACATGGGCCAAATTGTAGCCTCCAAGTGCTTTGGACTTCAACTCCCACCATTCCTAACAGCCCCAGGCCCTTTCCTTTTCCCCCTCAGCCGCTTAAGCGGCTGAGGGGGAAAAGGAAAGGGCCTGGGGCTGTTAGGAATGGTGAGAGTTGAAGTCCAAAACACCTGAAAGGTCCAAGTTGGCCCATGCCTATTCTAAATGCTTGAGGATATTCCTTTGAGGGAATCCAAAATGGCAAAAGCTTAACTGTAAAAACAAAAATCATTATTGAAGTGTTTCATTGCAAAATAATTAGATGTGGAAGTTACCTAGGCATATACAGGACGCGCTCTGCCACAACAAATCCCACCCTGAAGAAGAGGTTGCTAGCTGGTATGAAGGGGAAAACCAGGAACAACAGGCCAACTAGAACTTCTCTGTGTTCCAATTTCTGCAACAAAACAATAATGAAGATACATGTGAGTGAAAAGGCATGCCAAATTCAGGCAAGAGCATCATTGTGGTGTCAACACAACTATATCCATACTTGTATGCAAAAAAATCTTGTAAGACTTTTGAGGCTGAGAAGAAGAAGGTGGTAGAATAAGCTTTTGCAAACTCAGTCTATTCTTAACCTCAACCTTCCTAATGCCTTAATACAGTTCCTCATGTTGTGGTGAACCCCAACCATAGAATTATTTTCGTTGCTACTTCATAACTGTAATTTTGCTAGTGTTATGAATAGCATTCCGAACTCCACCAACGATGGAATTGAACCAAACTTGGCACACAGAACTCCCATGACCAACAGAAAATACTGGAAGGGTTTGGTGGGCATTGACCTTGAGTTTTGGAGTTGTAGTTCACCTACACCCAGACAGCACTGTGAACTCAAACAATGATGGAGCTGGACCAAACTTGGCACGAATACTCAATATGGCCAAATGTGAACACTGGTGGAGTTTGGGGAAAATAGACTTGACATTTGAGAGTTATAGTTGCTGGGATTTATAGTTCACCTACAATCAAAGAGCATTCTGAACCCCACCAATGATAGAATTGGGCCAAACTTCCCACACAGAACCCCCATGACTACTGTGCTTCCTGATGGTCTTTGCCGACCCATTTGACACCCCTTTGCAACCCTTCCCAGGGGTTCCAACCCCCAAGTTGAGAAACACTGTCTTTGATGCATGGAGTACAGTGCCTAAGGATAGACTTTTATAAGCAAACCTTATGTGTGAATAGCCATAGAAATGTAAATCTTGTGAGTATGGTGATGAAGCAACAAGTGATCACCTATAGAAGTCTGTTCTTAGACACTGCACTCCATGGCTCTGAAGAAGGCTTAGTCTACAAAGGTTTATGTTAACAACATGTTTCTCTCTCTTTGTATACTGATATTCCAGACGGACATGGCTATATCTTTCAAAATTCATACTTCTTATGCATATGGAATGTCTAAATTATCACTTCTTTATTATTAAAGCATTTGAGTCATGCATTTTATACATACTACTTGAGATCAGTCATAAAATCATTATAATTGTGTGGTTATTGTCACTCAGCTGAAAAGCAGGTGCGTACAGATAAACAGCAGGAGAAAGAGGAGTGATAGTCAATCTATACCAGCTTACATGCCAAGATACGAGTGGGGCTGTCAAATCAGTTCATCAAAGTAGCCTTTAAACTGATCAGAATACCGTAACATATGTTAACTATTACATCTGAATTTACACGCCATTGGGAAATCGCTTAGGACCATTGCTCTGTCACAAGAGTCTGCTACCCTCTGGAGTGCAATTATGAAGTTAAGTACTGCACAAATGGAAAATGAAAGTAGGCAGTCAATGCTCAACCATAGCTCAACGATGGCTAACTCAAGCCACACATTGGTGTAATATCAGAACGGAAGCAGTCCTCAGCTCTGAAATGAGTATTATCTCCATATTGCATATCATTGGGAGAGACAGACAAGCCACTTAGTGAATTAATAGCAGAAATGAGATATAAACCCAAAAAAATTGTTAAGGCCAAAAATTAAGTATTAAATGACACTTCACATTAGCATGTTTACTCCCTATTTATTTATTTATTTATTTATTTAGCGCATTTCTACCCCATCCTTCTCAACCCCCAAGGGGGGAATCAGGGCGGCTTACAAAAGGCACAATTCGATGCCAGCAAAACAGATAATAAGATAAAACATATATCAACAACAATTATAAAACAATTAAAACAATCCAGTTATACATCACAAATAATAAAAACCAATCTAATGATCAACGTTCACCAAGCTCAGAATCCGTAAGTTCATTCTGCATTGTCAAATCCTATCCAATTCTAGTCGTCATTGTCCTTTATCTGACCCCCAGATTACCCAAAAGCCTGGTCCCATATCCATGATTTGGTTTCCTTCTAAAAGAGAGGAGGGATGTCGATGACCTAATTTCCCCGGGAAGCGAATTCCACAGACAAGGGGCCACCACCGAGAAGGCCCTGCTCCTCGTCCCCACCAATCTCACTTGTGATAGAGGTGGGGCCGAGAGCAGGGCCTCCCCAGAAGATCTTAAACTCCGAGGCGGGCCGCAGAAGGAGACGTGTTCGGACAGGTACGCTGAGCCGGACCCGTATAGGGTTTGTAGGTCAAAACCAGCACTTTGAATTGTGCTCGGAACTGGATCGGCAGCCAGTGGAGCTGACATGACAGAGGGGTGGTATGTTCTCTGTATGATGCCCTGGTGAGTAATCTGGCCGCCGCCCATTGGACTAATTGAAGTTTTTGAACAGTGTTCAAGGGCAACCCCATGTAGAGTGCTGCTGTTGGGGGACCTTCATGTTGGGACTGATCTATGACAACCATATCAAAGGAAGAGAGGCAATTGTCTCTCTCTAAAACTGAGAAAGTATGACTTGCTTTGAATGTGATTTTTCTGCTTCTTGGCAGGGGATTGGATTGGATGGCACACAAGGTCTCTTCCAACTCTATGATTCTATGCCCAGGTTTACCCAGTAGGTTTCCATGCAAATCGTGGATTCAAATCTGGATTTCCAGAGTCCTGGTTCAATATTAAATCACCATGCCATGCCAGCTCTCTATTCCATAAAGACATTACAAATGGAAACTTGTAAAAAGGGTATGGAAATGACAACGTATCATTAATATTTTTCAACTCTATGTTACGGGGGAGACAGAGAAGAAGGAACAGACTGAAGGTCAAATATATCCCATAATGCAATAGTTATTTAATGTCAGTAAATCTGAATAACCACAATATATTACCTTTACAATTCCTTTGAGATGGGTTGGTTTTTCTAATGCCTTGTTGTTGCTAATTGCCTTCAAGTCAACTTTGACTTACAGCAACAATTTGACTGAGAGACATCGTGAGAGCTTTAGTCAAATAATTTTTTTCAAATCTGTCTTGGACTAACCAAAACAGTTTTTTTGATCCAATAATGCAGTAGCCCTGCAATTATCAGGGTGATATCATCCCCAAACAACAATTTTGCAGCAGCCATGGGTCTTCAAACATAGACCTCTTTTTTTTCCCATGTCAGGAGCGACTTGAGAAACTGCAAGTCACTTCTGGTGAGAGAGAATTAACTGTCTGCAAGGACTTTGCTCAGGGGATGCCTGGGTGGTTTTACCATCCTATGGGAGGTTTCTCTCATGTCCACATATGAGAAGTTGGAGCTGACAGATGGGAGTTCACCCTGCTCCCCAGATTCAAACCACTGATATTTCGGTCATCAGTCCAGCTGACACAAGGATTTAACTCACTGTGCCACCAGGAGCTTCACATAGACCTCTGAAGACTTGGGAATCCCTCCTCCTTTGGATTTGCTACCCGTTGCACTTGCACACAGGACATCCCCTTAATTATTGGGGAGCAAGGAATTCTGTTTATCTGCTTCCATTACTTAAGCCAATCAAATTAGTTATGCAATTTGCCCTTATCCTGGAAAGATCAACCTAAAAGAATCAAATCCCACGGATATAAAAAGTTATTCATAATATTTATTTAAAGGCTATACATGTTGGTTTTTTTCACCAGTTAAAATAAACATACCCAGAAAAATTGAAATATGTATGCACATAAACACAAGATTTTAGTAAAAGAGATTAAATTTCACTATTTTCCTTTAATTAATGTTTTAGCAGGTGTCCTCCAGCACTAAAGAGACCACAATACTGATTAAGTAAACAAAAGTGCTATTGATCGAATAACCATTTTTACATATTTTTAGAAACGCAGTTCAAAAGATTAAAAAACAAGTTTAAACAGGGAGGAGGAGTACAGCGTCTCCCAGTATCGCCATGTTTTACTTGCCACTGGAAGAAAGACAAATTCGGCTTGACTGAGCCACTAAGATAGCCATGACAACAACTGTTGGAAACTGGATGGCTGCATTCATCCCCATGAAAACTTTGGAGTGCCACATTCCCTCCATCAAATTACCTTCAAAAAATCAAAATACTTTTTGCCTAAAATGCTACCCAACACTGTATAATGGAGGTCTGTTTCCCCCACAACTACTACCACCTTCCCACCCTATTTCTCCCTCCTGTTCAGACAAGCGGATTAAGGAACACATGCAGCAGGGCTCAGCCACTCCACCAGTACATATACTTTTTGTGTGAAGGTTATATACAATTAGGAACACCTTTTTCAGAGGTGCTGCATGAAACTAGAGGGGCGACTGTCATACCTTATGGAAACTCAAAATGCCACGATCAGACAGTGCTCAAAATTACAGCTTTGTCTTCAATCATTGAAGCTGCAAGGCCATTCAGTGCTAATCAAGGTGGCCAACTGCAACATTCACACTTGCCTTAAGCAGACAAGTGTTCTTTCTCCCATCCTGGGCGTTCCACAGATATATAAACCCAATTTTCCTCAGACCTCACAACCTCTGAGGATGCCTGCCATAGGTGTGGGTGAAGCATTAGGAGAGAACATTTATATCCCGTCCTAGCTCAACCTCCGCAGAGGGACTCAGGACAGCTAATAACAAAAAACATAGGTATATATATCAAGTAAAAAAAACAGCATAAAACATTATAAAAACATTAAAACAATCGCCAATTTAAGTCGTAATCCTAAAAACCGTCCATCAGACTCCATTAAAACCATAGCTTTGCCATCTAGTCAAATCAACCTGCAAAGGCCTGATCCCAAAGCCAGGATTTCACTTTTTTTCGGAACATCAGGAGGGATGGAGAGGATCTGATTTCACTTGGGAGGGAATTCCATAGACAAGGGGCCACCTCAGAGAAGGCCCTGTCTTTTGTCCCCACCAACCACGATTGTGATGGGGGGGGGGGGACAGTGAGCAGAACCTCCCCGGATGATCTTAACGTCCTAGGTGGTTCATAGCGGGAGATACGCCCGGACAGGTAAACTGGGCCAGAACCGTTAAGGGCTTTATAGGCCAAAGCCAGCACTT